CCATCTTTAAAAATTCATTACAAACCAAATTCTAAAAGGTTTGGAAAAAGATGATAGGATATCCATCCTGATCAAGTGCTTTATCTCCGGACAATGATAATACCTCTCGCTTTAGTTCATCCAAGGAGACATCTTTTTCCAAAAAAGAAACCAAATCAGATGAAAGAGAATTAAGGCCCACCCTATGCAGCTTAGCAGTAGCTTTAATCACAAAGGGAAAAGCCTTTTGGAAATGTCTAATGACCGCATCATACATACCTGAATCATCTTTTGGATCAACACCCTGAATCATAAGGTTAGACACATCATTTTGTCGAGTCTGCGTATTTGCAATAGCATAGAAAAACTTAGTATTCATATCCCCTTCCGTAAAACCCGAGATCTATGCTTCCAAAAAACTTCCTCCACCCTCTTAAGCTTAAGTAAGTCCTGAGTATAACTACGTCTATCAGCAATTAATTGATCTGATAGAACACTGAAGCTTTGTACAGCATAATCCACCACCTCAATTTTACCCAAAACTTCTTCAATTTTTACTTGTGATATTAAATCCCTTTTCTTTTTTCCAAGCAACAGCTTGTGTTTCACCCCCACAAAAATCCACAGAACCTGGACCCCAAACTTCCCTAACCCCAGACAAAGTCAGGCAGGGGAGTTTAGTTTCCTACATCAATAGAACTGTTGGTCTAAATTTAGAAACCAGAAAATGAACATCCTTTTTTCGTTTGAGGTCACCAAGACCTCTAACGTTCCATGAAATAACAATCATTTAAAGAAGGTTAACAGAGGAAGAACATAGGCCCTCCCTGTTAGCACCGAAATAGACTTCTTCTAGAAACCTTGCTTCAACAAGACTATCTCCAAGCATCCCATCCCCAGACGAAGAACCTGAGCTACCTTCGAATACTTGATCATCCGAAATGATGACTCCACACGAAGTAGCAATAAGCGGCATTTCTCCTCGAGCTTCCAACCTAGCTGAGGACCTCGTACCTTTAGAAAACACCTTAGCTTTGTTCTTCATCTTGCCCCCTGAGGCCGATGGAGTTTTCTCCACAGCACCTTTTGGCTCCTTACACTCCGAGGCTTTCGCTTCCTTCTTAGCCTTTTTCTTAGCAACGATCTCTTGAAAAACAACTCCAATTAGCACATTGAAGTCCACACCGCAGTCAAAAGCAATAACACTGACCTTATCCAACTCAGAGTCAGTCTTAACTTCTTCCTTCGAGATATCCATACCAGAGTTAACTGGGTTATCAGCCACAAACAGAAGCAGCAGAGGACGAGACTCATGGGGGATACCATTAAGAGGAGGAGGATCCTCTGCTGTCACCAAGGCAAGATGATCCTGTAAATTATCCTCAGGAATAGAGTCATCTGCAGCAATTATGTTCATAGCATCCAGAACAACTTCATCTACTTCTTCCAACACCTAGCCATCAAAGGATCAAAAGACGGTCTCGAAGTGGAACAAATTTGCCGAGCTCCACTGCGACGATAAAGAGGATACATACTACTAAGCAAAGATAACAGCACAATAGAAGTCAACAAGGAGAGGTGGAGCTGACTCGCAACTACCAACACCGAGAGTAAAAAGAAGGAGCTAGTCTTGCAAACCTTAAGAGCAACATATAACTTAGAGCCAACATCCAAGAAGTAAGAGGGGGGCACCGCCTTAGCCTGCAACTCCCTATCCATTGTTAGCGAAAACTCTGGGGCAGCCAACCTTACATTCCTCGAAAATCGAGCCGAAAAGACTTCATGCAAGAATACGTCATCTTCAGAATGATTTCCCCCAACATTTTGAGCATCCAAAACAGGTGAGCCTGCATTACCATTTTGACTAATAACACCTGCCACACTGTTACGAACTATTGACGGAGTAGACGTTGGGACTTCTGCAAAACGCCCCATCGAAATTCATCTTTTGCGAATTTTCAAATTTTGAAAATAACTCCTTTCTTGAACTTCCATTGGCCTCGCATCTGTTGAAAATTTCGGGGAGCTTCCGGAAAGATCTTTTTAGGGGCATTCCAACCAACTCTGAACTTTGAACCATGACGGTGAACCGCCGTCCACCCATCCTCAACAGCAAGTTGAGGGGTAGCCTCAGGCAAAGGTAGCTTTTTCCTCACCATCGGAGAGACCCCAGTGGCAAAAGAATCTTGACCCACCATCAATCGCATAACTTTGGAGATGGACGCCCCTCTGAGCTTTCAAATACGAACTCTGACAACACTAACATCAATCCCCACAAAGGAGTCTCTGTCAACATCACAAAATTCCCACAACAATTAGCAATCTTCTGGATAGTATCCAGGGTCCAAGCATGGAAGAGAATATCAGAAAGACTAATCTAAAGGTTTTCCTTCTGCAAATAAGACAGAGCAGAAGGTTTCCACAAGTCCAAAGACAGCAACTTGCCTCGAATCCTAACAAACCGATTGCCCAAAGCAACCATAGCATCCTCCTTGGCTCGTAGCAAAAAGCTATCTTATTGTCTCCCATTTGTTTAACAATAGGAGCATAGGATAAACCCCATCCCCTCCTAGCTCAATCTTTCAAACCAAAGATGTCGTTAGAAGGTAGGGAAAAGGAGCCCACAACAAGAAAACCAGCCCCTGCAAGTAGACCAGATGAAAGATCATATCTTACATGAATAACTGAAGCACCCAAACAATTAGCCTCACTATCAACCTCGCCATCGTCTCCTCCCACCATCGTTTTCTTCCAAGAACCACTTTTACTAACCGACTGAAAGAAAACCCTCTAAAGGGACAACCTCACCCAAAAGGCCCTCTGGAGAGAGAGAGAGAGCGAAACAATGACTGCTTTAGAGAGAGAAGCATCGAAAAACCCCTCTAGAGAGAGGAAATCCCCTTATGAAAGGTAGAGAAAAGCCCTTCTCCATAAAACCACCACAAGAGCCAAAAAAAATCTCCAGAAAACCACTATAAAACCCTCACAAAATCATTTGAGAACTGCCAAAGACCTATAAATAATCACCAAAAAATCACTATCAAAACCACCGTGTCAACCTTTGAGAAACCCACCAATAAAGCCCCTTGCAAATCCCAGCAACCACCATTAAAGCTCCTCTCTCTCCTTCGGGTGTAAGCAAGCACAAATTTCTACCCTATCTTCTCTTTCATTAAACGAAAAACCACCCAATCTACTCTCTCTGTCTTTCTATTTAAATTGCTGGTGCTTTCCTGCTGATCATGCTCAAGTAAATGGCATCTTCTAGTTGGACCTTAGAAAGCTTGGTTCACAAAACCACCGGGGGACACTTTAAAAATTCCTTCACGGTGATGCCCTACCCTTTTTTATCTCGTCTCTTCCTCTCCCTCTCGAATCCCTCTCTTCCTTGACGGGCATGCTTCATCTCTTCTTCCACATATGAAAATCATTCTAGTGCTTTTAGCTGGATGTAATAATGATAAAACTAAATCAATTGAGTGTAATGAATTAATGATATGGAAGGAGGAATTCCTCAATCACGCAGAGTTGCATATGGTTTTACCTTCAAATTTTATCATAACATATAATTTTGAGATAAAATATTTTTAAGATTATCTCAAAATCTATTTTCATATCTAATTATAAAATTTTAAACTGTAAAAATGATTAAAATCAAGTAGATCTATAAATATATGAAAATCTTGAAAATTCACATTCTAGATAATGTGTTATAAGATACGTCATTTCTGAGGACTCAAAATCCTGGGGACTCAAAATCCTGTCTTTTTTTATAGTCATTTATCTCGATGTCGAGATGATCAATTAGAGGGTTTTTCAATATTAAAATAACATTTTTCGATGGATTTTTTAGGTGCATCCATAGTTCTATATTTTAAGGTTGCAACCTTATATAAATTTTCCCATCTCTAATTAGATGACTCACTTAATCCCAAGTACTTTTCTAATTTTTTAATTCTACTGCATATATTTTGAAAAATTACGTAATTTAAATCAAAATCTTTGAAAGATAATTTATTCTCACATCAAAGTTTCTTAACAAATAATGTTTCTTTCCATGTCTAGGATAAAAATAAATTCTCAAATAATTGCTTTTTATTTCTTAATGATGGTATTTTATCTAGATAATATATTGATCCAAACTATAGACATCGATTCTCAAAAATCTTTCTTCTTGCTCAAGTATATTACAGCTAAAGTCTCAACAAAGAGTTAAGTAGGAGTCTCTTTTTATGGAGCCCTAATAAATATTTTTCTACGTAAGGATAAGATTCTTTTTTATTACAAAAATAAAAAAATATGATACTTTGTTTTTTGAATTTTTAAATTCCGCATTGACTGAGATAAGGCTTTATGCAAATACAAACTAACAAACGATATTTAATTTTTATTTTTATTCTCAAATACGAAAAAACAATAAGGCATTTAAATTTTTATTTCATGAATTCCATGTTTGAAAAATTCAAAAGTTATTTTAAGAATAATTTACAATCCACAGTAGTTTCCAATTTTAATATTTTTAACTTGTTCATTACAGACTTTTGTTATTTAAAATCATTTCTTTTAAATTTTAATAGTGACTTGGAATTTTTCTTACCGATAATAGATATGGTTTCCATTCATATATAGATGAAGATAAATTTAATTTTTTGAATTTCTTCCTAACTATGGTTTGGATTACGGGTCCGTGTGTCAAATAAGAATTAACTGCGGTTAAAATGAGGATAAGTTAGTAGTACAACTAAGATTAGGAAAGCGAAAGCTTTATATAAACAGATGATAGGAAAGATGGTCGGGACGAAAAAGTTGTAGGGAGTCCTGAGAGATAAAATTATAGGGTAAAAGTGAATTTATAGAAAGAGAGAGAGTGCAAACCAGCAAACTTTTAACAAATTTGTTATTGCAATATGGTTAGGAAGCGCAAACAACCTTTTGATAGTCTACCCGATGAAATGGTTGAGCAGATCATGGCAAACTCTAGGTCGTTCGACATGCTCAGCGTGCTGGGTCGTTCGTTCGACATGCTCAGCGTGCTGGGTCGTTCGTGCTAAAGAATATGTGAGTTTTTTTCTGTATAAATATTGTCTACTTTTTCTTTCCGCCTTTCTTAATTCATTTAGGAGTTATATGTTTCTCATTTTTGTTTTTAGTTGTAAGGGATTTAAGGATTTTTGTTTTTAGTTGTAAGAGATTTAAGGGCCTCTCACATGACCCTCTGATTCTGCAACGCGTTTCAAGGGAGATAGTTGCTGAGAGCCTATGGCAAGAAAAGAAAAACAAACCAACCTCATGCCTCAAACAATCCGCAGATGCAGGAAACCTGAAGCTCAATACCTCATGGGAACGGTAAGCTCTCTTTTCCCAAATTTCACATTAATTAAATTTTTGTGGTTCTTGGTTTAGATTCATGTTTTTTCTTGTTTGAGTTTGATGTTTCATTGTTAGTCCCAATAAAGAAAATTAATAAATAATTAAAATTGAAATCGATAAACAAATATGTCCTTAAATCACATGAGAGACCTAAAGTTACATACCAAATCCTATAGACCAAGCCCCATCCGGTGACAAGCAACCTTGAGAGTCATCTTTGGTGAATCTCATTTACCTATTTTCTATCTTTATCTCTTTTTTTAGAGGGGTTAACCACATTTTATAGACAACACATTTATTTTGTAACTCTAACATTCATGGTCTATTGTAGTTGAGATCCAAGTGTAACTCCTGCCTTAATTCCCATAAGTGCAGCTAATTAGGATTAACAAGTTGTCACGAAACTGTTAATCCTATGTAATGGGTTAAACTTATCATTAGTCCACTAATGACTCATATAAGAAGATGTCATCCAAGCATTTCCACTCTTGAAGATAAGAAGAGACCAAGTCAAATTGCTTGCTCACCACGGTGGTTATTGGTGATAAGGCCTTTTATGATTTATCTCTATCCTCAAGATTCATTGTCATCCTCTATGTATAGAGACATTTATTGATGTAATCATCATCCAAAATAGTGAAGATATAACCGGTTGGCGCTTTGGATCCGTGGACGTAAGGCTTCGAGCTGAACCACGTAAATATTGTGTTTTCTCTTCTTCTCTCCATTCTCCATTCAATGTATGTGCATGTATGCTCTCATGAATTATAACATGGTATTAGAGCAAGGTTAAAGTGTGTACAATTTTTTTGGGTCATCAATCTCATACTGTGTTCTTCCATACTTTATCTCTCTACTTTTAGGTTTTTGTTTTTGAGGGCTTGCTTCATTTCTCTGTTGTGCCTTCCCTCTCTCTCTCTCTCTGCCTTCACTCCATCTTACGCCTTCTGCTACCCCTCTCTCTCTCTGCCTTCACTCCATCTTACGCCTCCTGCTGCTCTGGGGAAAGAGCATTCCCTATCAGGTGCCTTCTCTTTACTGTGTTGTCTTCCTATATACACTCTACTCATCTTTTGTTTATGGTATTTGGGATTTCTATGTTTTATCCCACTTCAAAGAAAGCCACTTTTCTCTCTCTACTCTACAATGCCCTACATCTCCCTTTCTCTCTCATCGCAAGAACTCCCCCTTTCTGAGGGTTACTGAGGCACTCAATAACTCCATTAAACCCTTGAATTTAAACGCTAAACTAGGGCAAAGCCCTTCTCTCTGTTTCTCTGGATAACTTTCCATCTAGGTTTAACATATAGGGTTCCATTCTTTCCTTGTTTGCAGTTGCTCTCTGCATATATATCTGGGGTATTAGTTTCAAGGTGATCCTTAGCGAGTGAATTAGGGTTTGCTGGTCGATGATCATGGCGAATAGGTACATGTATGCTGATGATACAAGACGGATGAAATCAATTACAGGTGAGGATTTTGAGGAAGAGGATGTGGGTTGTTTTTTAGGAGAATAATAATGGCAGTCCCCAATTTACAAAGAAAAAATCACGCCTTTCTTCTTCAAGGCACATTTCCTCTGCATTTAGAACGATACCGAGAAGTAGTAGTGGCGTTGCCTTAGAACAAAGAATCATGGTGCAACAACAATCGGTGTTTATAAACATACATGATTGGTGAAAGATTTACAAGAACAAGGTATTCAAGTGCAATCACATGGATGACAATAATGGCAATGATGGGGAGGAGTCTCAAAAAAAAAAAAAAAAATTTCATGCTCAATGACGTGCAACAAAAAAAAAAAAAAAAAAAGGAAAAGGAAAAAAAAAGTGGTTTTTTTTTTGAAGATGTGGCCTGGCTAGGCCAGTTTCATTGGAAATTTTTTTTTTATATCATTTTATTAGCATCCACACCCAACTTGAGGGAGAGAATATAGGAGATATGGAGATGAGATGAGTAGAGATGAAGTCAACCTTTATAATGTTACCGCTATGTAGACATGATCATCAGTTCATGTAACCGCTATGTAGACAAGAACATCAGTTCTTGTCAATATTTGCGTATTTTTTAAGTGTCTCGCACGCTATTTGCTCCTAGCTCCTCGCCATGTAGTAGAGGACTTCATCGTACCATTGGTGTAGTGACATCGTCAGCCATGTAGTAGAAGACTTCATCATACCATTGATGTAGTGACATTATCAGGGGGAGCACACTCATGATTAGCAGATTTTTCAAGGAGAAGCTTTCACCAATCTTTAGTGTTCGTTGCCATTATTTGTCGTAGAGCCATATTTGTTGTGCCTTTATAGTACTTTTAGTATTGTGCCTTTGTAGCACTGTTAGTGGTCTTTTAGACCAAGTTTGGGGATCACGTATTCTGGATCACATCTCTTCGCTCTTGCAGACTATTAAAGCACGCCAGTGAGAGCAGTGCAAGTTTTTTTTTTTTTGGCAACTTTTGGTCACAAGACTCCAATTCCGGTTTCAGTTTGCAAGTTTTTTTTTTAGGTAACTTTTTGTCTCAAGACTCCAATTCCGGTTTCAGTTTGCAAGTTTTTTTTTTTGGTAACTTTTTGTCTCAAGACTCCAATTCCCATTTCAGTTTGCAAGTTGGGCACTTCGCTTCACATCTCTGTTGTGCCATTTCAGTTTGAATACCCATTTCAATTTGCAAGTTGGGCACTTCGCTTCAGATCTCCGTATGTTGTTTCAGTTTGCAAGTTGGGCACTTCGCTTCAGATCTCCGTATGCCGTTTCAATTTGAATTCCCATTTCAGTTAGCAAGTTGGGCACTTCGCTTCAGATCTCCGTGTGCCATTTCAGTTTGCAAGTTGGGCACTTCGCTTCAGATCACCAACTTGAGGGAGAGTTTGAAGATAAGAAGAATTGCTTGGTCATCACGTTGGGTATTGGTGATAAGGCCTCTTACGATTTATCTCTATCTCTAAGATTCATTGTTATTGTCATTTATATATAGAGGCATTTATTGATGTAATCATCATCCAAAATAGTAAAGATATAACCAGTTGGGACTTTGGATCTGTAGACGTAAGGCTTCGGCCTGAACTACGTAAACATTGTGTTTTTTCTTCTTCTCTCTATTCTCCATTCAATATTTGTGTATGTATGCTCCCACGAATTCTAACACCCACAATTTACAAAAAATCCAAACACACCACTGAGTTTTCCCTCCATTGATACTGGGTTTTTCCCTCCAGTAATACTTCTTATTAAAACTCAAAAAAAATGATCCATGTATATGGCATTGTCTCATGTTAACTACATTGGATTTCTTATATATTTCAATATGGCTTTTGTACCATTATTGAAAAAATGAACTTTGGAAGAAAAAGGGTCTGATAGGCCACATTTCCAACTTTCATAGCTTATTTCATGCTTCTTGGCATATTTTCCCAAATTTCATGTAAAAAACTAGTTAAATTTATGTGGTTCTTGGTTTGGAACTTAGTTTGAGATTTCATAGTTTATTTCATGCTTCTGGGCATATTTTCAGGCTTTTGGTTTGGTTTAATTTCATGGGACTATATTGCTCCCTAGGTTTCACATGAAACAAGAGCAGTTAATTACCGTTATTTCCGTGATTCTATGTTTTGTTTTTTTTTTTCCCCAATATTTACCCAAAAACAAGAATTAATAGTTTCATATTGCCATAGAAACCCAAGGGCATAAATTGAACACCATCTAAATTAGTGGATGGATGGTGATGATAGAGAGATAGTGGGACCAACTTCTTTTGTCATTTTCAAGTGGTCCTACTCTATATCAATCGATATTTGTCCTTTGTTTTTCTCTCTCCTCTCTATTGTTTTGGTTTTAATTATCTGATGTAAAAAAATAAAACTAGAAAAAATTAAAAATAAAAGGTTGGAATAATATACCCTCTCTCAAGGTCTGCGAGAGAATTCACCCCAAAGTTAGAAAATATAACTTCTCTCCAGGTCTGCCAGGAATCCACCCCAAAATAATCTCTTCACGAGACCAAATTTTATTAACTCATCTATCTCTTTACAACGAGGGGAACCTCTTTAAATAGAGTAAAAAATAAGATAAACATTGACAAGAAAACTCTCTCTACACTTTTCCTATGTTATCTCTTCTTCCCTATTTTCTCTCTCTTGAAATCACATGCTAATTCTTTCCTATTCCCTATCTTCTCTCTTTTTAATCCACGTGCCAAAAATTACGCTCGTTCTCCCCAACTTTGATTATTGTTGATAAGGATAAACTCTCTCTAAACTTAACCTTAAGTTATTTATATTCCTAAACTACCTTCCCTAATTTAACCTTATTTATTTATATTCCAAACTAACTAACCCAAATCAATCAATAACTAATTAACCCAAATCCATAAATATCAACTCACACACAAATTCAATGCCCACAAATGTCCCTACATACCTCCTCTCTAATTCCTGAAGAAATAAACTAAAGAATAATAAAAAATTTAAAATAACCTTAATATTATTTGCATCATTCTCTCTCCCCATGTGCTCTGTTTTGTGTAAACTCCCCTTGTGCTTTATTTTGGGTGTACTCTCTCTCCCCCCTATGCTCTGTTTGGGTAAACTCTCTCTCCCCCTATACGGTGATATCTATTTCTTGCAGTCTCTCTCCCCCCCCCGGCCCATGTCACCACGTGCCTAGTCGGAGGTTTCCCTTGAGAAAATGGCATGAATCAGTTCAGTGTTCGCCAACTGGACGAGTTGAACTTGAATCGGCTTTTGGTGAGTCCGGTTTTAGCTGGTTTTTGTAGTTAAGTTCCAAGATGTTGAAATTTTTTTAAAAATAATTATTAAAATCCAAACAATAAGAAACTTATTTGTAATTTATTTTCTAATGTTTTTTTTATCTTTTTGGAAAAGAGTGTTTGGACCACAAATACTAACTTTTTACATTTTCCTTTTTTTTTGGATTATTTTTAAAATACCTTTGAATTATTTAAAAAATACTCCAGCCTTTTGCAAAATCCATTTTTTCCGATACTTTTTTTAACTTTATTTAAATGTGTTTCATTTAGGTTTATTCTAAACATATTGTTCATATTTTTTAATCAATTTCATATTTTATATTTTTAAATAAATTTTTGGCCCGGCCAAGAATTGCCCCGTTTTTCGGTTTAGCCAGAACCGGTTTCGGGTTACTTAGACCGGCCCATGTCTAGGTTTCGAACCTAGTTCGTGTAATCAACCACTAATTCCATTAATTATGAAACTTTCATTAGTTTATGTGCTCAATAATGGATAGAACATTTGTGCATCTTTCTGTACTTTCCATTTAAACAACAAAAACAAATACGTTTTGTTAGTTAATAAATAGTTATTTGCCCTATTGCCCTAACATATAGCAGAAAGGACAGTTTGTCGCATAGCGTATAGGGTGTATAGACCATTTCCACCGTCCCTTCTAATTAATGATGGCCGAGATGATTACAATATTTGTGGACTCGTCTTGGGCATCGGACTCTGCCGTGGTCCGAGCATGAATAAGACGGCATGGAGTAACACAAAGGGTGAGAAAACCCTAAAACTGTATTAAAAATAAAAATGTCACAAAATAAAATAAAAATCATAAAAGTGAAACAAAATGAAAAATAAAATAAAAATCTTGATAATTTAAAAAATATAAAACCTATAGATTTACAAAAAAAATTTGTTTATGATAAGATGAAAAATCCATCCCAAGGTCGAATAAAAGGGGTGGGTTGTGTTAGATAGACAGCCAACGTAAAATTTTATCAAAATTTCGTATGAATTTGAAAATACAAAAATAAAAAAAATTTTATAAAAAAAACTCATATATCATTATAAAAAAACTCATATTTCATTAAAAAAATCTAAATTGTATATATAATTTTAATGCATTGATCCCACAAGTTTATACAATTTTTTATTTTATTTTTAATATGCCGGAGTAGTATCTAGATACTCGACTTAGCCAGGGCCTAAGTCCGAGTAAATGGGTCTGGTAGTTAAATACTCAAATGCATAGTGTGTAGTATACATTGTGTACATGTCTGACTTTGGCAAGTCCAACAACGGTAGCTTCCGCCAACTTTGCGACATGAATAGCGAAAAAAGTCCTTGGGACCATGAGGATCCTATAATCCTAAGGATTGAAGGTCACAATGACTATAGTCCTCATGATCAAGGAGATCCATAGTCATTGGTGTAGATCAAAAACCCCGTAGTGGAGCCAGCATGTGATCCACTATAAGAGTTGTCATAGTGGGTCACTCACTCTAGTCCCATCCGATTATTGAATAGATGGTTTTCAAAATCACCAATTATTACTAGATTTTGTTTTTATTAGTTACTTTTATAATAGTATGAGCACTAGATTTTATTAAAATGAAAATTGAAGTACAAGATTGGTGTATTACAATAAAATTGCAAGTCGGACCTTTTTGTTGTTTCCCTTTTTGAGTTGAGTAAAACCATTGAACTCATAATTTTACAAATTGAATTTATCTAACAAAACTTCATATTTATCTTTATGAATTGCTTGCTTTTATTCTAAATACATTACATAAAAGCAATAAAATATTTGAAGAAAAATACATTACATTTATCTTTTAGCTCCAAGAAGAAAGACGAGGGTGTAGAATATTTGAAGAACGCAATAAAATTGGGTCACCCCAAATCCATATATGGATTTGGCTTGATAGTCATGAGTGAGGGCAAATTCTTGGAAGATATAGAATTCATAGAAAGGATTGAGCACCTAATTTCAGTCGAAGTAGTATAAATTCCATTTTCAGAACGATATAGGTCAACCATAAGCTACTGTTGATATCAGAAAAATGCAAGAATGAGAAGGGCCAAAGTCTGAGACTCATGGGGTGGAATCAAATAGAGTACTCCCATAAATGTTGCTCCTCTAAATGCAAGTGCACGCGTGATGCAAGCAATGTTGTTATTAATGGGAAACTTTAAGTTAGATTATTAGGGAATGATCCAATGTGAACTTTTGAGTTCAGACAATTAGGGTTTTGTATTCTTTTACAATATTTTGTAATTCTTTTCTATTGAGAATTGAATTTGTTGAGTGATTTCTTTTACTTGCATGTTGATTTTCTATCGGTAAAGCATATATAATTTTCGCTTCATCTAAATATTATACAAATCAAATTACACCTTCTCTACCTCCAATTTCCCTACCCCACTTAAACGTTGAAGAGTAAAACATAATTCACTAGATTCCAAGGCTCAATTTCAGCTAGGTTCTTAGCTTCATATTTTTTGCAAGCGCATCTCTCCATAAATTCTACAAGCATTTATAAAGGCTCCAAAAAATGGCAGCACGAAGATAAGGATATAAAACTAATATAGGTATGCATGACATATAATGAAAGAGGAGATAAGAGTATGGAAACACGTACATGGTTACGAAGAGGGACAAGGGTGAGATCCTCATCAACAAGACAGATGGATATGAATATGAAATGCGAATAAAAGTAAGGAATGATTCATTAAAAAGGGGAAGAGGGGGATAGATAAATACAAATCCCTAATAGAAGATAATGAAGATCAAGAGAAGCAAATATAACAAGAAGATAAGAAGAGAGACTAAGCTATTGAACAAAATCTAAGGGAAAAAGAAAAATAAGTATAAGAGAGATAGGGGATGAGAGGTGTGAATAAATCCAAACTATTAACAAAAGATATTTAAAAAGGTGAGAAAGATAGATATAATTGGAAAAGAATAAGGAAGATTAATCTATTAAGCAAAATATAAGGGAAAGAGATAAAATAAATATAAAAGAGAGTAGAGAATGAGTGGAAAGAAGAATGTGGGGTTCAAACCATGAGATAAAGGGAAAAAAAAGATGTTAAAACAAAAGATCCCTAATTAAGATGGAAAAACACAATAACGAATAATCGACATGCATTAGATTAGAACACATGAGAGGTGAGCGAAATCTACATCGTTACATGAATAAGAAAGGAGAAAG